CCAGTGCTCATCCCCACAAGTGCCCTCCTCCATGCCCATCACCCCCCTTCCTTTCCCCCTACCTCCCATCAACCCTCAGTTTGTTCTTAGCATTCAAGAGTCTCTCATGGTTTGCCTCTCTCCCTCTCCCCCACTATTTTCCCCCTTCTCCCCCATGGTCTTCTGTTAAATTCCTCCTAATCCTCCTATACGTGCAAACATATGGTATCTGTCCTTCTCTGCCTGACTTATTTCACTCAGCATAACACCCTCAAGGCCCATCAATGTTGCTACACATGGCCAGATTTCATTCTTTCTCATTGCCATGTGGTATTCTATTGAGTAGATAAACCACATCTTCTTACTCCAGTCGTCAGTTGATGGACACTTGGGCTCTTTCCATGTTTTGGCTGCTGTTGAGAGTGCTACTCTGAACATTGGGGTACATGTGCCCGTATGTGTCAGCACTCCTGTCTGTATCCCTTGGGTATATCCCTAGGAGTGCTAATGCTGGGTCTGACAAGAATTTTAAAGCAGCCATTATAAAAATGCTCTAATGAACCATTAGGAATTCAATTGAAAGAAAAAAAAATAGAGAATCTTAGCAAAGTAATAATAGGTTTCTGCAAAGAAGTACAGATTCAGCAAATAAATAGAGGATATAAAATGATATAAAAGATACAAAAAAGAACCAAGTGAAAATTATAGAACTGAAAAATACAATAAGTTCTTTAAAATCCAGTGGATGTGCTTAACAATAGAATGGGGAAGACGGGAAAGAAACTAGGGGGTGTCTGAGTGGCTCAGTTTGTTAAGTGTCTGATTATTGTCCTGATTTTCAACTCAGGTCATGATCTCATGGTCATGAGATTGAGCTCCACATCAAGCTGCAGACCCATTGTGGAGATTCTCTCCCTCTCTGGCCCTCCCTGGCTCTGGCGCTCGCTCTCTCTTTCTCTCTTTCTCTCTCTCTCTCTCTCTCTCTCTCTCTCGCAAAGAGAAAGAAACTGAACTGTTAGAACAACAGAAGACTAAGGCTAGAACAACAGAAGACTAAGAAAATGTAGCCAGCAGTCCTGTCATTAAAAAATGGCTAAAGAGAGTTCTCTAAACAAAGACACAACAAAAGAAGGAATCATAGAATATCAGGAAGGAAAAATGAACAATAGAAAAAGCAATAAAATGGGTAAATTTCATAAACTTTCCTTTTTCTCTTGAGTTTTCTCAGTTATGTTTGATGGTTAAAGCAGTTTTTCCAGCTTTATTGAAATTAAACAAAATTTACAATATGATCTTATATGATGCTAAATGTATGTGAAATAAGTGTTTAAGATAATTGTTTTATAAGAGAGGGAGCATAAAGAACATCAAAGGAGATAAGGTTTGTTTATTTCACCAAACAGGTAAAATATTCACACCAGTAGCCTGTGATGAGTATACCTAATGCAACCCCTAAGAATCTCTACAAAGAGGTACACTCAGAAGCACTATAGATATACTGGAATTCTCAAAAGTGTTCAAGAAGACATAGTAATCCTAAATGTTTATGTAATAACAAAATTTCAAATTACATGAAACAAAAATTTGTAGAGCTGAAAGGAAAAATTGAAAATTCCACAGTTAAACTTGAAGACTTTAATATCCCTCTCAATAACTGAAAGAGCAACTAGATAGAGTATCAGAAAATATTTAGGAGAATTCGAGAACACAATATACCATCAGGATTTATACAATGCACCAACCGCAGAATATACAATTATTTTCATGTATCCATGGAACACATACCAAGATAGACCATATCCTGGGTTATAAAACAAATGAAAAACCTTAAAAAATAAAATTATGCATGGTGTTTTCTCTGACCACAATTGAATCAAACTAAAAATCAGTAACAGAAAAGCAACAAAAAGCATGGAAGGAAAAATGGCAAGATTGAAGAACCCAGCTTCTGCATCCTCCAACATTATCAATGATTGGATAGATGTCTGTGAGAAAATTAGCTCTGGGAGATTTCTAGAGTTCACTTAGGAAGTTTTAATGACACAATGGCACTTTAAAAACTGAGAACTGTACAAGAAGAGAAAGAAAACTAACCTCATTTTGCCTACGTCATCCCAGTCTACAAAATGGTGTTGTTCAGTGCCAAGAAGGAACTTCCCAGCTAGAGAAACTTCCTTTTACCAGGAGAGGAAGAATGACATGAGAAACCAGCTTCTCAGTCCTCTCAGAGCACTATGAAGATCCATCTTCAATCTCAGTCCACTCAGATTAGCAAAGCTGAGATGTACACAGCTCTGGCTAGGAACAAGAAAGAAAAGCAGAGGCTATTCACAATTGTACCAAAAACCATAAGATATCTGGGAAAAAAACCTAACCAAAAAAGTAAAGATTGGTATGCTGAAAGCTATAGAAAGAAATTGAAGAAGACATAAAAAAAGGAAGAACATTCCATGCTCATGGATTGAAAGAATAAATAGTTAAAATGTCTATACTACCCAAAGCAATCTACATATTCAATGCAGTCTCTATCAAAATAACACCAGTATTCTTCACAGAGCTAGAACAAACAATTCTATAATTTGTGTGGAACCAGAAAAGACCCCAAATAGCCAAAGTAATGTTGAAAAAGAAAACCAAAGATGGAGGCATCACGGTACGTGACTTCAAGCTGTATTACAAAGCTGTAATCCTCAAGATAGTATGGTATTGGCACAAAAACAGACATATAGATCAGTGGAACAGGATACAGTGAACCCAGAAATGGACCCACAAATATATGGCTATCTAATCTTTGACAAAGCAGGAAAGAATAGCCAATGGAAAAAAGACAGTCTCTTTAACAAATGGTGTTGGGAGAACTGGACAGTGGCATGCAGAAGAATGAAACTGGACCACTTTATTACACCATACACAAAAACAATTCAAAATGGATGAAAGACCTAAATGTAAGACAGGAAGCCATCAAAATCCTGGAGGAGAAAACAAAGAGAGCAACCTGTTTGACCTTGGCTGCAGCAACTTCTTGCTAAACATGTCTCTGGTGGCAAGGGAAACAAAAGCTAAAAGTTAACTATTGGGACCTCATCAAGATGAAAAGCTTCATCAAGATAAAAAACAGTGAAGGAAACAATCAACAGAACTAAAAGGCAACTGACAGAATCAGAGAAGATATTTGCAAATGACATATTGGGTAAAGGGTTAGTATCCAAAATCTCTAAAGAACTTATCAAACTCAACTCTCCAAAAAATAAATAATCCAGTGAAGAAATGGGAAGAAGACATGAATAGACACTTTTCCAAAGAAGACATCCTGATGGCTAACAGACACATGAAAAGATGCTCATGAAATACAAATCGAAACCACAATGATATGTCACCTAACACCTGTAAGAATGGCTAAAATTAACAATTCAGGAAACAGCAGATGTTGGTGAGGAGGCAGAGAGGGGCGTTGAACTGTTGTTGGGATTGCTAACTGGTGCAACCACTCTGGAAAACAGTATGGAGATTCCTCAAAAATTAAAAGTAGAACTTACCCTACGACCCAGCAATTGTACTACTAGGTATTTATCCAAAGGATGCAAAAATGCTGATTTAAAGGGCAGTGCACCCCAATGTTTATAGCAGCACTATCAACAATAGCCAAATCATGGAAAGAACCCAAATATCCATCAAATGGCGAATGGATAAAGAAGATGTGGTGTATGTGTATATATGCATGTACATACACACACACACACACACACACACACACACACACACAATAGAATACTATACAATGATCAAAAAGAATGAAATCTTGACATTTGCACAACATGGATGGAACTAGATTGTACTATACTAAGTGAAAGTCAGAGAAAGACAAATATCATATGATTTCACTCATATTTGGAATTTAAGAAACAAAACAGATGAACATAGGGGAAGGAAAAGAAATATAAACACAAGAGATGGAAGAAAACCAGATGAGACTTTAAATAGAGCAAACATGGTTGTTGGAGTGGAGGTGGGTGGGGGGATGAGCTAAATGGCTGATGGGCATTAAGAAGGGCACTTGTTGGGATGAGCACTGGGTGTTATATGTAAGTGATGAATCACTGGGCTCTACTCCTGAAACCAGTGCTACACTGTATATTAACTAACCTAAATTTAAATAAATATTTAGAAAATAATACAATATGTTAGCAAATAGAACTCACCGTGTGTGTGTGTGTGTGTGTGTGTGTGTGTGTGTGTGTACATAATGGCCAAGTGGGATTTATTCCAGGAAAGTAAGGCAGCTGAATTGATTTGAAAATCAACCAATATAGGGGCGCCTGGGTGGCTTAGTCGGTTAAGCGTCCGACTTTCGCTTAGGTCATGATCTCGCGGTTCGTGGGTTCGAGCCCCGCGTCGGGCTCTGTGCTGACTGCCAGCTCAGAGCCTGGAGCCTGTTTCAGTCTGTGACTCC